CTACACGGGACACCTGTGCCTTCTGAGCTGTGCTGTCAGCCCCTCCTCACCCCTTCCACCCCCACCTCTGTGGCTGTCAAGATTGCAGACTGCAGCTGCCAGCTTGACCACTCTGTCTCAGTTTCCTCATCTTAGAAATGGGCTTCTCAGATCATCCCCCGAGGGTCATAGTGAGCATTCCCTGAGCAATGGCCCCTGAAAGCTTGGTGAGGGATTCTCCCATGAGCCCTTTTCTGCGTCCAGGCTGGCCTGGCCTCGCTGCTCCTGACCTGTAGTCCGGTTGCCACATAGGGCTCCTGGCCCCACTGCCCGCCTCTCCCCACCCCTGCCAGACTGTGAGAGTTGCTGGTCAAGCCTGGGCCCTGCTTCAGGCTGCAGCTCCTGCCCTGCCCCCCGAGGCCCGCACAGGGTCGCTTCCTGTGTCCCACCAGGCTGCACAGCTCTGTGATGCGGCCTGGAGAGCACTTACCGGTCCCCGTGGTCCGAGTGGCACGCGGCCCCCACGCTGGCCAGCAGCGTCCTGCATTGCGCCAGCACCGAGCAGCCTGAAGAGACAGAGCACAGGTCCCATGAGGCCGAGGGTCCTGGTGGGGCCCCTCCCTGTGCCCCCCGCCCAACCCAGCAGAGGTGAGAGAAACCGCAGGGGGACCAGGCATCCTCTCCCTGGCATTGCTCTGCTCATAAAACTGTCCTCAGAAATGTCGTTTCCCACCATGCCTAGTAAGACACCGGGATTCTGATTAGTGGCCGCACTTAGTAAGTTGTTGTCCTGGCAATAACTTAGACTCAACCTGCGTTTTCTAAAGGTAAGACACTAGGCAGCTGCCTTCATGAAGCCCGAGGCCCCCCTCTTCTTCCACAGGCGGAGACGACAAGAGTAACAAGAATCTCTGTTCCGCTCACATTAACACAGGTTGTCAGTGATACAAAGTCTGCCCCGGGAGAAGCGGGAAAGGAGACAGGAACAGAGCTTCCCACAGTGACCAAGCCTGGAGATGCAGCCACACGCCCGTCTGCCCCGCCCCACTGAGAAGGCAGCACAGCCCAGGGTCTCATTAACGCAGCCGCGATGCTGCCTGTTCTCTGTGACCCAGGACGACAAAGCAACAAGGACCTCTCCTCCCAAGAAGCGAATGTGCGCTGTAGCTGTGGCTCCCTCGGGCCTGCCCCCTCTCCCAGTGAAGCACAGCAGGTCACCCCCGGACTGGCTCAGGGACTCAGGACAGCTATGTTCCCTGAATGGGCAGCGTCTCAAGAACAAGGGAAACCCCTGGGTTTGCACTTTTCCCTACTCACAGCCAGTTTTTAAAGGTGATCTACTCTCCCTCACCTTCATAAAATATCTTGTAAAATTTGCTGGCAAAAAAGGATCAACTAGCCTAAAACGTAGTTCATTTTATCTCCTTCCCGAACCGCTTTCAGCTGGGCGTGAAGTCTGCTGAACACCCGCACGCCCTCCTCCTGGGCCTGGAGCGCCAAGCAGTCAGGGAGGCAGGACAGCGACAGCCCAGGCCACCTGGGACAGGACAGCCGCTGTGCCCTAAGCAAGCGGCCCACAGCCCAGCCCAGCCCAGCCCCCGTGCCCTGGAGACCAGGAGGCTGTCATCACCTTGGAGCTGGGGTCCCCGGAAGGAGAAGTTACACGTGTTGGAGAGCCGCTCAGTCCCCGGAAACTGGCTGTTCAGATGGATTTTCTTCTCACCGAATTCAGCCTGGAGATCGATGAAATGTTCAGTTGTTCAGTGATGGCTTCAAAGTCCCGTCCCGTCCCCCTAACCCCCACTCACCTGCTCGACCTTTAGACTTTCCTGGGAAACAAAATCTCAACCTCAACACATCAAATAATTCTCACTGGGAAGCACCTACCTAGACTGGCTATGGAAGCAAAGCCAACAAGGAGATAAACTCCTGACACACACGAACCTTCTACACTCGTCACTAAAGGCACCATCTCTGGTGCGTCTGTCTTGAGTCTGGAAAACAACCCACTGCTGGGTCCCTCTCTGAGGCTCTGACTCTGGCTCCTGTCTCATGACCTACTCCTGGGGCTGAGAGTCCCCGTCCTCATCGCCCACGGGCAGGAGACGAGGCCCAAAAGAACCCGCTCCCCTGGGCTGACGGGATGCTCACCGCCAGCCTCTCCTCCAGGTAGTCGCGGACGTCCCTCATGTGGGCCTCGTAAGCCTCGCAGTTCTCTGCCACCAGCTCAGCAGCCTAGGGACATGGATGGCGTCCACTTATTGTAAAGCAAAGGACCACAAAGCTTTACGGAGCAGAGGGATGATTGCTGGTGACTGACGGGGCATTTCCTCAAACTGCTCATTTCTGTAACAGCAGACAGTACTCGTGGGCTGACTGGCAGTTGAGGTAAGTGCCTGGAGTGTCACCGCACTTGATCCACAGGAATTTACTTGACCAGGCACCTCCTGAAACTGCCACGCACCAGAGCTGCCGCAGCCCATAGGGCAGGAAGAACGTCAACCCTCACAGCACGTCCTACTGTTCCAGAGGAGGAGGGACGGACGTACACACAGGGACAGGTGGGCAGGGGCTTGGCGATGGCACACAGAGTCGGGAAGGGGCAGCCACCAAGGTCCAAGGCCAGGGGAAGGGTGAGTGCTCCCGGAGCAGAGTGAGCGGTGTCAGGGACCGAGGCCCCCGTGATAGGCGGGACCTGAGCCCAAGTCACAGGGCAAAGGATTCTGGGAGGGGGATCCGACCTGCACGGTCACCCACCACTCAGTGTGTGGAGAAGGGAAGAGGCTGGCAGGTGTCAGCAAAGGACGGGGATGACCTGGTCAAGTGGCGGTGGCCATGGAAACCGACAAGAGGCACATCCTCACTATTATCGTGGAGACAGGCCTGGCTGCTGCCTCAGGGGCGGGGGGTAAGAGCAAGGTCAAGGGCACCTCCTAGATTCTATTAGTGAGGGCGTGGATGGCGGGAGGCTCCACAGGGAGAGGGGAATGGAGGAGAGAGTGGGATACATCGAGGACCCTTGGAATTTCCCTGGTGACAGGAGTATCTTTTGTTCTAATGAGGCCTCATTGGGTGGCTGCTGAGTGGGGGACCGGTCACCAAAAGACCAGGCCATTTCAGGAGCCTGGGTTTTCAGCCCCACCTCCCATTCTCCAGAGAGGACCGGCTGGACAGGGAGTTAAAGACCAATTGAAGCCCATAAAAACCCGAGAGTACGGGGTTGGGAGAGCTTCAAGGTGGGTAGACACGTGGGGCGCTGGGGGTGGCCCCCAGAGGGCGTGGAAGCCCGGCCTTCCTCTGCATCTCTTCCACTGGGAGGTTCGCCGGCATCCTTCATCACATCCTTTTATGATAAACCAGGGATCTGAGTTCTGTGAGCCCCTCGAGCAAATTAATTGAATGAGGGGTGGTTAGGGGAACCTCCAATTTATAGCCCGTCGGTCAGAAGCCCGGGTGACAACCTGGACTTGGGACCAGAGTCTGAAGTGTGGGATCTCCTGGGACTGAGCCCCAGTCTGTGGACTGAGCTGCCTCTGGGCAGTGTCAGAACTGAGTCACACTCAGGACAGCCAGCGGGGGTCACAGAGAACCGCTGGGGTCAGAGTGCGGTGAGTGTGGCAGCCGCGTGAGAGGAAGGCTGTTTCCCACCACCTGCCCAGGGTCACAGGCTTACCTTCCCGAGGCCGGCGATCATCGGGGTGTTCTCCGTCCTGTAAGACAGGGAGTCAATCCTATTTCTATGCAAACCAACCAACAAATGTCCCAGGAAGGAATCCCGTTTATGTGAGAATCGTGTGTTCAAACAAAGACAAAAATCACACCAACACCCTTTCTAAACACGTGCCACACAGGCCCCCAAACCCTCGTGCAGGCTGCCTGCCCAGCAGCGGCGAAGACAGGCCCCCGGGTCCTGCACTGGGTCCTCGGTGACAGTTCTGTCTGGACCAGGGCAACCACCGTCCTCCCGCTGCAGACTCACAGGCCCCTCTGTGGTCCCCACTGCAACGGGCGGGGGTCTGAGCTCTTCCTCACTGTTCCCTCGGCCGAGGCTCAGCGACGCCTCCCCACCATGGATGGGACGAACGGTCCCTAGAGGGTTGGGGCAGAGAAGGCGTTGCCAAGTCCTAGGCCCAGGCAATATTTTCCGTTTTTGTTTCCCCCCAAAAGTGTCAGCTTTACGTTTTACGTAAGTTCAGGATCTATTCTGAGGTCATGCTGGGTAAGGCGTGGGACGGGTGGAGGCGTGCTGCTGGCCTCGGATGGCCATTACTGCAGCCCCAGGCGAGGGCGGGCTGTCTGTCCCCCACAAAACTGCTTTCCCATCTCTGCCAAAAGTCATGGGGCCTATGTCTGGTTGTGTCTATTTTGTTCCAATGGTCTCCTCGCTGGGATTTGATAGGAATTGTATATGAATTTGGGGAGAACTGACATCTTTACTATATTGAGTCTTTTGACCCATGACCGTGGGGCATAGCTCCATTTACTTCGATTTTGATTTCCTTCACTGGCACCATGCTGTTTTCAGCATGCATGTCCAGTACAGACTGTGTTACATTTACATCTGAGTATTTTGAGTGATTGCAAATGGTACTGTAGCTTTTATTTGGTTGCCCATATGTTCACTCCCAGTGCAGAGAACACAAGCCCTTTCTTTCCAATGTCCCAAGGTTCCTCCTCACTGTTTCCCTTCTGCTTAGAGAACGCCCATGAGTCCTTTAAGCACAGGCGTCCAGAGGCAAATTCTACCAGTTTCCCTTCATCTGAGAATGTCTTGACTTCCCCTCTGACCCTGTGGGACAGGTGTGCTGGGCAGGATTCCGGCCAACAGTTCTGAGCACCTGCCAAATGCGCAGCCATTTCCTCTGGCCTCGTGGCTTCTGGTGGGAAATCCATTGTCACTGAAACTAATTCCCCCCCTAGGTAAGGTGACAGTTTTGCTCTGGCCAATTTCAAGATGTTTCTTTGTCTTTCATTTTCAGAAGCTTGACCATATATTGTGACATGGATTTCTTTCATATGTCCTGTTTGGGATTTGTTCAGTTTCCTAAATCTGCAAGCTATGTCTCTTGCCAAACTTGGGGAATTTTTCAGCCATTATTTCAAGTGCTTTTCAGCCCCCTCTTGCTATTCTCCTGGGACTTCACAGAAATGCATTGGGATCCTTTGTTATAGTCACACGGGTCCCTGAGACTCTGTTCAATTTCTTTTCTGTTGTTTAGATTGGATAATTCTACTTATTCTTCTATCTTTCAAGGTTCACTGATTCCTTCCTCTGTTCCTCCATTCTGCTGTTGAAACCATCAACTGAATTTTTATTTTCATTATTGTAGTTTTGGTCTAAAGTTTCCTCTTCTTTACATCTTTTTCTTTGCTGACACCTCCTCTGTCCTCTGTTCACAGTTTCCCTGATGTGTTTTCACCGTGTCTGATTTACAGTCTTCGCTGGATAATTCCAACACCTTTGTCGTCTCCGTGTTGGCAGCTATTGAAAACTCTTCTCAAGATGCTGCCTGGCCCATCTCGCTCCCCGGCTGCAACGGCCTGTGCGTCTCAGGGATCCAGGAGCAGCAGGAAGGAGGAGGGGTTTGCGCGCCGCTCACCTGCAGGCAGAACAGCAGCCGTCGGCCAGCGGGGCTTCGCGGCACCTGTGCAGTGGCCGAGCCAGAGTGACAAGGGGAACTGATGCTTTGTTGTTAATCCTCACCTGAGGATATTTTTATCCACTGATTTTTTTTTTAGAGAGAGTGGAAGGGGGCAGGAGAGAGAGACACATCGATTGGGGCCAGGGATCAAACCTGAAAGCCAAATATATGCCCTTGACTGGGAATCGAACCTGCAACCCTTCAGTGTGCGGGCTGACACTCCAACCACTGAGCAATGCTGGCCAGGGCAAGGCACCAACACTTTGAAGAAACAGAGATGTCCTTCATCTCCAAAAGCCTGCGGGTCTGTGAGTGCTGAGTGGGGGCTCGGAGGGAGAGCAGGGCTGGCTCAGCAGTGAGGGGGCTGTGCGGTCCCTGTGCGGCTGGAGACAGAGAGAGCCAGCCCTGGGGGCACACCCCGCCAGCAGCCAGAGCCTCGCTAACCTCCACCTTACCCCGGCCTGAAATTCCGTTCTTGTCCGCCTCCGAACAGCATGGGGTACAGAGGGGTCAGTTCCCCGAGTCCTCGGACGTAAAGTGCTCCGATCCTGGGGCCATAGAACTGAAAGGAGAAGGCAGTCATTATAAGCAAGGACCTTCCCAGGATGAAAACTGATTGCTGAGGCACAGAGACACTGCAATGTGCAGGCCCACAGCTGTGCCTCATCACCGCTCCGCACACGCTGGAGTCACAGAAGCCTTCGGGAGGTGGGCAGGCTGGATTCGAGTCCCAGCTGTGTGGTGATGGACCCCCGCCCCCCACACACACACCCCATGTGGTCGCATTTGTGAAAGGACAGGGCTGGAACTAGAGATCACCAAGGACTATTTCTGGGTATGAGTCCATGTTTTCACATAGAAATCACACAAGAGCTTTAGGTGCCGTGGTGCCAGGCCAGCCGCTCGGCCTCTGGAGCCCAGCGAGCCCTGAGCTGCAGAACCAAGCATGGGAGGCCCAGGCCCACTGCACTGCCAAGGTCTTCACAGTGAGCCAGGACCCCTCTCCGCCTTAAAGCTGCGTCACTAAACTAAACCTTTACTTTTAGGAGCCTCACTTTAAACCAGTGAGCCAGGACCCCTCTCCGCCTTAAAGCTGCGTCACTAAACTAGGAGCCTCACTTTAAACCAGTGAGAGAAAGTGAGAGAAAGCAACACTTTCTTGAAGCTCGCATCGCCATCCTTGCGAGGAGGGTTGAGTGGGCTGACGAGGGTCTGCTGACACTCCCTGCTGCAGAGAACACACACCACCTGGCTAACCCACCTGCGTCTACCTCACCTGAGCCCTCAGTGCCCTCCCACAGCCTTGCCTAGCTGGCCCCTCCTGCCCCTATGGGTTGGGTGCCCCATTATCTCAGCCATGGCACTCGTCAAATGACACGCTAGCTGTCGCTGGCCTCCTTCTGTAAGCTCCTCTGAGCGATGAGTTGCTGTCACCGTGTCCCAGGGCCCAGCTCTCAGTGGGCCCTCAGGTGCCCTGGGTGACAGGTGATGGTAAACGGTGAGCCTCCAGGTCATGGAGCCATGTTCCCCCAGGAGGGAAGCAGGCCTCTGCGTGCGCACCTTGTGCCCCACGATGGTCAGGAAGTCCACGCCCAGGTCCTCCACATCCACGCGCCTCTTCCCCAGGGCCTGCGCGGCATCCGTGTGCAGGAGAACGGCAGGCAGCCCGGAAGCCGCCCGCTCCTGGTTCAGGGCTTTAACTCGCCGGCTGATCTCAGGGATGGGCTGACGGGGGAAAAATCAACAGTTGGGTATGTGGCTTGGATTTGATGAAAACTGAATGGAAGAAGCAAGGAGACACTAACAGGGACAGACCAACAACACTACAGAATTGAAAGCAGAGGAAGAGGCCCAGCCGAGAGGATGGATGGACCGGCGGGGCTGACCACCCCCTTCCCAACGGGTCTGCGTGGAAGGAAAGAGCGACTCACCATGACGACGCCCGTCTCGTTATTCGCCAGCATGATGGTCACAAGGCACGTGGCCGGGCGAACGGCCGCCAGGACGTCGTCAGCCTCTGCCTGCCCGCTCACCGTGGACACGGGGACGAAGGTGACCGCTGAGCATAAGACACAAGTACCGAGGTTAGGAACCCTCCCTTTTCAGTTCACTTTGATACAGCTCCACAAACGCATTTTCCACGATGACAAACGTAATTTACTGTAAACATTCTGAAAACTATAAAGAAGGATTTGTCATCCCACCAGAGGTGATCGACTTGAACGCTTCCTTACTGAAGCTTCAGTTGGTGGGTTCACTCTGTGGAAGGCTCTCCTTTCTGCGTCTCAGGGACCCACGAACTTGACCTCCACGCACTCAGCGCTGAGCCAGCGCTCATTCCCGGCACTCACTGCACAGGGAAAACAGTGGGGTGACTAAATAGAGGGTTTGGGTTGAAAAGCAAACACACACATGAACACACCTGGAAACACTTAGTAGTTGGTGCCTTGGTTTCTGGGGTGAGAGCTCGTGTGGTGGAGAAAAGCGCGTGGAAGCCTCCGACACCGCCCGCCCCTGCAGCCAAGACAGTAAATCCAATCAAGGCTGCGTCACAGGGGAGCGAGGGCGATCGCTGACACCTTTTAGGGCCTGACACAGGCAAGGATGGTGGCGCCTGATGTCCATAGCTAACTCATCAGTCTGACCCTAACAAAAACCAGGACCGCGGACGAGGATAGTAGACTCCACACATTCAAGCAGTTATAAGCCTTATTTAAGGCTGCTCTTCCTGATGTGGTGTCTTTGCTAAAGCAGACTGAGCTGGCCTCAGGTAGAGGCAGCCACTGATCTGGGAATCTGGGAAGTGATTTCCCCACCCACGTCAGAAAAGAGGCTCAGAAACACCTGGCACTCACTCGGAGGGGACAACAGGAGGCATTTATAGCACTGTCCCAGGGCTATGGCAACTCATCTGTTCTCTGTCACAATGTATTTCAAAGGAACCTGGGCCATCTGGACATTTAGAACATAATACTGATTATAAAAACAAAACAGAAAACAACAAAAGACAAACACACCCCTTTGCCCCTCAAGGTCCCTCAGAAACAAGAGAACAGACATATTTCTAAGTAAGAGGTGTCACCTATGGGTAAGGGATGTTGAGGAATCCCCAGGAAGAAGACAGAAAGACAATGGCATTAGACTAACAGGAATAGGATAAACAAACTCAGAACATTAATGTATGAATGGATCCAGTGACCATCCAAATTCAGGGTCCACAGTGCGGAGAGCTGGGCGGGGCTGATGACTGAGGCAGGCAGAGGACTGGTTCTGGTGTCCAAGCACCCCTGCCTTGCACCCAGCAAGTGGGTGGCACCACATGCCCAAGACAGGAGGGGCAGGCCCAGGGGCTCCAGGACAGAGAGGGCCCGAGAGAAGGGAAAGAACTCACACATCTGCTATAGGACACAGACAGGAGGCAAAGGGAGGGCAGTCTGGCCAGGACTGTCTTTTCATGAAGAAGATGCTCAACAGCAATAGCCACAGGGAAATTCAAGTCAAAACCACAACGAGCTTCCACTTCACTCCCACTAAGATGGCTATAACCTATAATAATAAAGCCGGGGCGGCGAGGGAAGCCCGGGTCCCGGAGGGAAGCCGGTGCCAGCAGCCGGGGAAAGGAAGGCCTACTTTTGCACAAATTTCGTGCATCGGGCCTCTGGTAAACAATAAAGCCCTTGCTGGTGTGGCTGAGTTGGTTGGGCATGGTCCTGTGCACTGAAAGGTTGCCAGTTCGATTCCTGGTCAGGGTACATGCCTGGGTTGCGGGCTCGATCCCCAGTAGGGGGTGTGTGGGAGGCAGCCAATTGATATTTTGCTTTCACATCTATGTTTCTGTCTCTCCCTCTCCCTTCCTCTCTCTAAAAAGTAAATAAAAGCAAATAAATAAGGGGAAAAAAACAGACAGTAACAAATGTTGATGACAATATAGAGAAATTGGAACCCTTGAGACTACTGGTGAGAATGCAAAATGGTGCAGCTACTTTGGAAACAAAGGTTAAGGATAAACATAGTTAGCAGAGACCCAGCCGTCCCACTCCTAGGTACAAACCCAAGAGAATGAAAAGGTGTCCACAAACACACACAAAAATGCTCATACTGGCATTATCATAAGGACAAATGTTCTTTAACTGATGAATGGACGAATAAAATGAGAATATTATTCACATAAAATGAGATTTACTCATCCACATAAAGGAATTAAGTGCTGGCACAGGCTACAATATAAGGACAAATGTTCTTTAACTGATGAATGGACGAATAAAATGAGAATATTATTCACATAAAATGAGATTTACTCATACACATAAAGGAATTAAGTGCTGGCACAGGCTACGTGGATGAACCTGAAAACATTATGCTGAGAGAAGCCAGGCACAAAAGACCACGTATTATTATGATTCCATTTCTATGAAAGTCCAGATCAGGGAGCCTCTAGCGACAGAATGCAGGTTAGTGGGTACTTGGGCTGAGGGCCTCTATAGCATGTGAATGACATCTCCATAAAGCTGATTTATAAAGAAAGCAATTGGCCTGGCTGTCATGGCTCAGTGGTTGAGCATCGACCTATGAACCAACACACACACACACACACACACACACACACATACACACACACGTAAAGAAAGCAATTGGGAGAGGTGGAGGGGGTATGAAATGGTCAAAATCCTCATTTTATATGGGGGTGGGGGTATCAGCAAACAGATGCTTGAGCTGAAATGCAGATTATGTTTGTAAGTGATTAAGTATTAAGTTGGAAGTAATTAAAATAAAGTGTGAACCATAAGAGAAACTCCAGGTGGGCTTGAGCAGGACAGGACTGGGGGCCACTTTACTTTGTACTTTACACCTTTCTATAAAGTGTCAATTGTTTCTATCATGAGCATGTTTATACTTTGTAAACATGTGTGTAACTTGTGTAGATAAGAGGGTAAAGGCAACAGTAACTGATAACAATGTATACTAAGTTGCCCTTCCTTGTGTAAGACAGAAAAAAGGCAGCAGGGATATGAGGAACTGCAACCTAAGACGAAGGTTAGACCTGGCCTTCCTTCCTCTCCCCCTTAATTAAACTGGTGCATTCAGGTAAGACCAGGAGGAGGAAAACCTTTCTAGCCTTCACACAGGAAAACCAACGCAAAGGCTTCCTGGCCTACCCCAGCAGTTCCGTTACAGCCCCTCATCTCTGGGATAGAACGGCTTTCCCAGATCCGCCGTCAGGTTTCCAGGCAGATTCAATAGAAAAGCTGACACGGAGAAGAAATCATTTCTTATGTAAAGGGGGGGGGGGGGGGGGGGGGGGGGGGGGGGGGGAGGCTCTTACGTTTTCAAGTGAGTGGTCTTAACCTGGTATCACAGGAAAAGTGAAAGAAGGACCAGTTCCTTCTGTGTGACAATGACAGGGCCATCATCACTGCAGGCTAAGCCTGACTCATCCCTCGGACCGCCTGGCATTGCTCTGGGGGAGGCCGGGCCCCCTGCCCCAGCCTCACTGAGAGCCCCTGATTCTGACCCCCTGAAGGGGATGCCTATTTGATCCTTTTTCATATCAGAGGAGCGGAAGCCAAAATTTAATTTATTAAAATCAAACAATGAAAAGCACCATTTAGTATTTTATAGACATGTTATTTAAAAATTTATTGTATACAAGAGTTTGAAACATCATCTGCATATACCCGATTGTCCTTTTTTTAAGGGAAAACCTCATGGCATCTACTGACACCCAGGTGGCAGCCTGGAGGGACAGGCTGTGTCCCCTACATGAGGACAGCCAGGAAGCCCGAGCGCAGGAGGGTGATGTCTCACCATGTCCCCGGGGACCCTCCCCACTGAATCAGCCAGTCGGGTCAGCAGAGCTGTCCCTGCTGCAGCCTAGGCTGGGTGCTCACCGGCCACTTGCTCCTCCACCATGTGCTCCAGAGGCAGACGGATGGAGTCGTGCTCCACAGTGCAGGTGATGACATGGGGCGTGGCCCCCTCCACTGGGCTGTGCCACTTGGCTGTGTCCCCCTTTGAGGTGTGGATGGTTTGGAAATGCCTCACCACGGAGTGGATCACCAAATTATTGGACTGCAGAGACATGCAAACAACCATTTACAGAAACTGTTCTGAGGGGAGAGTGGGGACAGCAACCTCTCCCATTGGGATTTCCTCGTGGCTAACATTTAAGACAGAAAGAAAAAGTCACTTCCTGAGCTGCACCCTTTGAAAGGCCCCACTGCAAAGATTTGAGGGTTTCAAACTTTCAAAAACCTCAGAACTCATTTCTGGTCAATTATACCTGCTTTGCATGATTATGTCTGCATAAGCAACTTATGCACTTTTAAAACTTAAAAATCTGTCAAAAAAGACTCTTTTTCCCAGGCCCACTGATGGTGGAAGGTGAGCCAGCACCTCTATTCAGGGCCCTTTGGCATCTCTATCAGTAAACCCTTTGACTCAGAGAGTCTATCATGGACTTGGTCCGACAGCTGCACTTGCACAGAAGCAAGATGATGGATGTAAAAGACTATTTACTTTAGCGCTGTTTGTAACAGTAAAAGCTGGGGAGCCCTTCCATGTGTATCAATAACCGGACTTGTTAAATAAATTATGCAACATTATTCAACGGAACACGAGCAGATGTAAAAACACCAAGGGAACGCTCTGTGGCTGATACCAAAAGAGCAACACACTTGCTAAATGTAAAGAGGTAGCTGACGTTATACATAGTATCCCACAAACTATACAGATTTGCTTGTATGTGCACAAAGATCCCTGAACAGGTACAAAGGGAAGGAGAAAAGACTACATAAATCCACATGTCTATTTGCATTTTACCCACAGATTATCTCTGGAAGACACAAAGCTAACAGTGTTGGTCTCCTGGAGAGAGAAATGGACAGCAGGGGAGTGGGGGTGGGCTTGTGCCCTGACCGGGAATTGAACGGGTGACCTCCTGGTTCACAGGCTGATGTTCAACCACCGAGCAACACCAGCTGGGCACTCTTCTGTTTCTTGTTAAAACCACAGCTGAAATACCTGGATTCCTGGTTGGGGCACATGCCCAGGTTGCGGGCATGATTCCCAGTAGGGGGCATGTGGGAGGCAGCCGACTGATGATTCTCTCTCATCACTGATGTTTCTATCTCTCTCTCCCTGTCTCTTCCTCTCTCTGAAATCAATAAAAACATATTTTTAAGAAACAAAAAACTGCAGCTGAAAGGATGAGACTTTAGAAACCTTACCTCAGTGCCCCCGGAAGTGAAGATGATGTCTTGAGCCTTCCCACCTATCATTTTCCCAAGGTTTTCCCGAGCTGCATCGATAATATCCTTGGCCTTCCTACCTTGAGGGACCAAAATGGACATTCATTAACATCACTTTATCAAGTGCAATTGACATGTTTAAAGAATGACTAGCCATGAAGGAGCGAGAGGTCTGAGTGGGTAATTCTAAAACGAGACATGTCCCGCCCGCGTAATCACAATAACGTGTAACACCTAGAAACAACCCGGTGCAAGGGCAGCAGTGAGGCATTAGTGAGTCAGGGGCCACCACTGAGATCCCAGGAAGCTAGTGAGGGCCAGAAACAAATACAGGAGGAAGCCTGGGAACTGAAATTCCCTGCGACATGCTTTTCGTCTTACAGCGCGCTAGAGGACAGGGAGGCTGTGGCCATCGCTTTGCCTCCCGCTCATCCAGGCAGGAGAATGAAAGGATGGGAAGGCCTAAGGTCATGCTGCAAAACAACAAAAATAAGCAGAACTAGAACTCATGACCCCTCAGCACAAAGTCCAATGCCCTACCTCACAGTGCAGGCCCCCAGGTAACTAGGAGGTCCCTGCCTCAGGGAAGCACCTGCTTTCAAGCAGGGCCATGCAGCCCAGCTGCCTCCCAGGTTCACTGGCTCCCAGGAAACCAGGACCAAGCGTCAGGAGGCACAGAAAGGAAGGCTCCAGGATGGGAATTCTAAAAACTGCAATGACCATTCTTACTTAAGTAGTCTATAGACCAGCAGTCTCCAAACTTTTTTGACTATTCAGTCCTATTGGGAAAAACAAACAAACAAACAAAACTTGAACAGTTATATAGTGTCCCCCAAAATGAAAACCCATAAAGGCAGTGTTTATTAAAATACATTTCATTTTCAAAATTGAGCTATCAGCTGGGTTAACGCTGTCACTTCTCTGCTCAGAACTCGCCATCTCAGTCAGGTGGGAGCCAGGCCCACACAGTGGCATCCACAGCCCTATGTGGCACTGTCCCCGGGACCCCCACGCCCACCCACCCACACCCCTCCTGTCACCTGTATACTCCCTGTTGCTGCAGTGCGTCCTGTTCGTCTCTGTGCAAATGCCATAACGTCAGAGATCCGGCCATCCTGCACAAAGGCAGTACCCTCCTCCCCGCCCAGCAGGCCCGGGCCCATCCTGTCTCACAGGCCCACAGCCTGTTCACTTAACACACTTGCATTTGTCTGTTCACGGTCTGCCCCCCTCACTAGAATGGAAGCCTCATGAGGGCAGGGACTTTGTTTGCTGCTGTATCCACCAGGCACAGAGCAAGCACAGGTTAAGCATGCTGAACGAACGACTAAGTTAAAATGCTCACAGAAGTCTGATTTTATGTGTTACGGAGCAGGACTTGGGTCCTTGGAGGTGAGTCCAAGTCTCTAACGCGAGGCCAGGCTGGCCTCGAGAGTGTCAGGAGATGCCACTGGACGGGCCCTGGGGAACTTCCAACCCAGTAATTAAGTCATTCTATCATAAAGGTGACTTTCCTTTATATTTTTGAATTTCTACCTGAGTATCAACAGAAAGTGAACTGCAATAAATTTTTCAGTTATGGCTCTTAATTTGTGGAGACAAGGGCTGTCAAGGTAACTGAAAACCACTGACAACCTTCACTGGGCCAAGAACATCATTTCTCCTGGAGGGTTGTTCCCAAACTTCTTCATATTAATTGCTTTTTATTGGCATTTAACTGTTCTCCATATTGTCACGTTTAATGTATCATAAAGCTCAATTTTACTAGAGGAAAGATTAGGGACAAGGAACTGTCCAGTTTAGCCAGACACATGTACCAAATAAACCAACAAATATGCTAATGAATGACTAGTACCAGCTTTTGAAAATGCTTTCCGTTATCAAGTTGCTATGGAATTACAAAAGTAAATGAATAAGAAAGTCCACTACAGCCTGCGAAATTGTACCCAGGTATTACAAAACCCCAGGGCAGTAGTCTGTTTGAATGTTATCTTCGGTCACTGTAATCCAGTTAAGATAGTTTATCTTTATTATCCCCAATAAACATTAGATCAGAAAGGTATGATTTTGCTCAGCAGCTGAAAAATGTCATGTAACCCTGCTGTAGAACTAGTGATTTTAAATTGTTTTCCAAAACCTCCAAGTTAATGCTCTACATCAGTGACTTTCAACCGGTGTGTTGCAAGAATTTTTAAAATGTGCCATACCTGACTATTTAATCAGGGCCACTGACCTCTTTTCCCTTAGATTGTCAAATAAAAAAATGACAACAGCCAACACAACAGTAGCCGTCCGGTGTGAATGCCCTGTCTTGAACCATAAATATATAGGTCATATAACACAGTTGCATCTTATTGGTCACAACACATATTAAGGATGCAGCTGATTGGTTAATTCTTGGTACCAGAAATCCTTATATACAAGTATAGGCACCTGATTTTTTAAAAAGTCACTTTGGAGTAAAAAGGGTAGGTAATTACTATTATTATTATTTTTGTAAATCCATCAAAATTATACCTATTTTTTTGTCAGATGGGCAAAAAATACATTTTTTGGTGTGCCGCAGAATTTTAATAATTAGTTTATATGTGCCATTAGATGAAAAAGGTTGAAAATCACTACTCTACATTAAAACGAGACTAAATGAGAAATAAGAATATTTATAATTAAAGAATTTAAAAGTAATTTTCTTTTCATTTTTTTAAAAGGCCAGGATTATATTTGATCCTGATGATTTAAAAGATCTATTTTGCAAACTTTATAAGGATCAAATGAGACAGATACGTGAAAGGGCTTTAGGTACAGTTATAACTCTATAAGACATCATCTGAGAAAGGGAGACAGGAATGTATGTTAAACATTAAAGATTGTGGTAGCAACAAGGGTCAACGTACCAAGTTGGACTTCTTGAAAAAAAAAAAAACCTACTAAGAATTACAGCTAGACTTGCAGTTCACAGGAAATCTATTCAAAACAAAGTGCTCCTGTGTGGTGTCATTTCTCTGATGCCTCTGCCCCGTATCTGCCATCTGTGCGCATCTCCTAGAATTACCTGCCGGGTAAGGGCTGCTGGGATTTCCCCAGGCTTCCCGCATGGCCTCGGTCACGGCCTGGACAACCTCTGGCTCCAGGGGGGTGGTTGCATTATAGTCCATGTAAACCCTCCTGGAGGAAAGAAAAGGAGATGGGATGTGGGATTACAGGTGCACCAGGTCTATCACATCAGCAGGAGCAAATAAAGCAAGGGCAGCGAGCCCTCCACCTATACTTCTTCCCACCTGAGTAGGACTGGCGGTCCGCAGGGCCTGGACTGCCCACAACTGCTATAAAGATCAGGCCCAGGCCAGCCTAGGAAGCGGCATGTCCCGAAGGCCCTTCCTTCCCGCTTGCTTTTATAACTTCACCAGTTTTCTGTGAAGGCTGAGGCTGGGGGTGAGCCTGCACCCATTCTTCCCACTCTCCCTCTTCATCTCCCTCAGGGGGCAGGTCTACCCTGGGGCAGGCCTGCTGCTCTCCCCCTTGAACTTTTGGGTTTCTTTGCCTAGAATGACCACTGCCCCCTGCCTTACTTTTTTTGATCTTTGCTCTAACTTGACCTTCTGGTGAGGCTCTCAGCAGCCACCTACCCCCTCCTTCCCAGCAGTTTCTCCCTAGACCTGTCCCTTGTTTCCTGTCTGCATCTATGAGAGTAACAGGATGTCAGCTGCAAGGGCTCTGCCAGTTCTCACCCTTGGTGGCCAGCCCTGAGAACAATGGCCGGAACACAGCAGGGGCTCCGTTTATAAGATGGCAAAGTAAATGTCACAGAAAGGGCACATTCTCAGAAAGATCCTCATCAGTAAAATTTATCTGTGTATCTTCTTACTAATATCAAAAACCTTCAGAAATTTTCATAACTATATACATTAGGTAATCCGGGCTGATACTAGGAATTATTTTACCTGATTTTTAAATCAACAACAGTATTTAAACCAGTGGTCGGCAAACCGGCTCTCGAGCCACATGCGACTCTTTGGCCCCTTGAGTGTGGCTCTTCCACAAAATACCGACTTCTGCGCATGGGCCACGAAGTTTCAATCGCACTGCACGTGCGTGCCCGCACGTGGTATTTTGTGGAAGAGCCACACTCAAGGGGCCAAAAAGTCGCATGTGGCTCGTGAGCCGCAGTTTGCCGACCACTGGAACCAATCCACACAAAGTTTCAAACACAATACTAATCATGGCTATTACACAGTTACTTTGTTTTAGTTTTTAGGAAATAATAATTTTAATCTATGTCAGCATAATTCATGCCCAAACTTATTCAGTTCTGTCAGAGGTTTGGCCCTTCATGACATTTGTCATTTTCTTCGTGAGCTCTGCACTATCTGAAAAAAAGTAACCTATCCTTTAATGGGTTCAGTTAGCATAAACAATCTAATTCTGTGATCCCTACTTAATAAAGTACAATATATAATCAATGCTGTATCATCTAGAATTGTCAAACTGTTCATGAAAGCTAAAAACACCCTATAAAACAATGAAGCTATTTTATGTAACATGTAATAGGTAGTTGGCATGAAGCAAAGCTTAAATATTTAGTCTTCTGAAACTCTAATGTATTTCCATAAGCCTTTTAATCTATAATTTTATAAATATACTTTACCATCATGGAAGCCAGATATGTACTTAGTTTCTCTTTATACATAATTAAAAAATTTAGGAGGGTGTAGGCTATAATTCAGATACAATTTAGTCACAACACCATACCAAGACTTTATAATCAGGAAAGATATTTAACATTATTGCTTAGTCTTATAAAACAGTGAGTTTTAACTTAATTCATACATCTAAACTTATTTATAATTTTTCCTATACTCTTTAATAATACTGCTTGGCAAGTAATATAGGTACTGATATAATTTTTTATTTCAATTGGTTGCAAACGAATTCTAATTTGTTAATCAATGCATATATTCCTTTTTAACTACTTACTATACCTCAGAATTAATCGTCCTACAGAAAGTAACTGCCCCGAGTGCAAAAACATTGCAAAGCATTTTTTTCTTTAAAGATTTTCAAGGAAAATCTATAGGAACACAGCCTCATGAAAAAACTAATTAAAAATTTGACATTCCATCTTGCCGTACTAACTGTGAAACAATAGAAAGAGACGTGAACACATGTTACTTTATATTTCTCTGCTTATCATATTATACTAAAAACTACTGTAACTATGTATGAGCTATTTTCCAGCTTCTTCAAGTATGGGACACACTACAGTTCTATTAGTGAGGAGAAACGAATAATCAATCTTAGGTAACTCAAAAGCAAAATGGGTGGCACAAAAAGATAAACTGACTTTGGGTTTATATATATATGTGTGTATATA